CAGGTCAGTCTTGAAGAGTGAATGTGCACATTGTTGATCACATGGATAATCCCCATCTCAGCGACCATGGCTTCGTTGTTCGTGGGCCCATCCTGCTATAACAAGGATGGCATAGGAAAGAGGTTGACTATCCACAGAATGTGTGATCCTATCTACTTGATACTGAACTCTTCCTCTCCTGAAGGCACCTTTCTTTTCTTTTTTAATTTTTATATTTAAATTAACCAATCTTATTTTACTTACCAATCCCATCCTACTACTGCCCTCACCATCTCCACATGCCATCTCCATCTTTTCCTCAGAGAGTCTGAGACCTCCCATCAGGAATCATCCAAGTCTATCACAACATTTGGGGCAGGCCCTCTATCCTGTATCTCAGCTGAGACACTATGCCTCCAAAGGAAATGGGCTCCAAAAAGCCAACTCATGTACTAGGGATAAATACTGGATCCAATGCCAGTGGCTCCAAAGATTTCCCAGGCCCTGCAACTGACATCCATTTTCAGGGTGTCTAGTCCAGTCTTATGCAGACTCCACAGTTCACAGTATGGTGTCCATGTGCTTCTCCCCTTTCTGGTACTAAGTGGAGAGTTCAGTTCAGTGTATATCTGTGGGTGTCTGCCTCTGCTTCCATCAGCCACTGGATGAGGGCTCTAGGATGGTATTTAAGGTAGTCATCAATATCCTTATAGGGGAAGGGCATTTAAGTTCCCCTCTCTACAATTGCCTAGATTCTTCATTGTGGTCATCCTTGTGGATTCCTGGGAATTTCCCTAGAGCCAGTTTTCTAATGAAGGCTGTAACAACTCCCTCTATCAAGGTATCCTGGCTCTCCTCCTCTGTGAAGGCATATTTTGATAGGCATTTACATAGGTCACTGGGATCTCCATGTTTTCTTCTTTGCAGATAAGTGCAAATACTTCTTCCTCAGATGTATTTCTAATTGTTCATATTTTCTTTGTATTTATTCTTCTCTCATTCAATACACGCTGACCATAGTCTCCCCTCCCTACAATCCACCCAGATATTGCTACTCCAGTTTCCGTTCAAAAAAAGAGTAGGACTTCTGGGGATATGAACTGAACACAGTTTACAAGATATAATAAGTGTTAGCACAAACCCTCATATCATGGGTGGAGGAGTTGTAGGGGAAGCTGTAGCCACGCCTTCTTAGGGGCTGGGTACAAGAGTACCTGAGGGCTTGTGAGGGCGTGGTCAGAGTGAGTAGACCATCATTGTCTTCCAGCTTGAGGTCTCAGATACATCAGAAGCACGAGCTGTAATGAAATCCAGTGTCTTGGTTTTCAGCTGCCCTGCACTGTGGAGGTCAGCGAGGATGAGAGTGTGGGCAGCATTCTCAACACAGAGGTCCCTGCAGAGGGCATCCTCGCACATGACCTTCAAACGCTCCAGACCATACTTGTCAGCAGCTGCCAGCACAGCATCTGCCATGCTGTGGAGGTCTGGTGCCTTCCCGGTATAAATGAAGTCCATCATTGCCTTGAAGACTTGGGGCTCCACATCCTGGATCTCCACGCGGTTTTTTCTTCTCTCCTCCATGTCATGTTCAAACATGGCTCTGAAAACTGGAGAGCGAGCTGCTAAGATGGCCTTGT